CTTTTATTTTTATGGGTTAAAAATAAGTTATAATTATTATAATTTATTTAGTTGCATAAACTTACAAACGCATAAAAAAAGTTATAGTTACACAATTTAAGTAATGTTATTTTCTCTTTCACCTTCGCCAACGACCATACCACGTTGAATACACCAGTTCTCGTCCGATCACTGAAGTTAAGCAACGTCGGGCGTAGTTAGTACTTGGATGGGTGACCGCTTGGGAACACTACGTGCCGTTGGCATTTATTGCATTATTTTTTAACATTTACTTTAATTTCAATTTTAAGAATGTAAAAATATTTTTTGCCTTTGTATCTTTTTTTTCAAGAACTGTTGTAGAACTCTCCCTCGATAAATTGAAAAATTATTATTTTATTTCATATTTATAAATATTATATACTATTATACTATAAATATTTTTATTCTTTCAAATTATATCTGCAAGTCACACAAATAAAAACGAAAATAAAATAAGACACATCATTGTAAAAGACATTACAATATTCATTGCTACTCTCGGAATATAAAATAATGAATTCATTTTATTTTATTACCTAATTCAATAAATTAATAACAATGAAAACTATATGAAAATAATATATTATTTTCAAAACATTACTTTTCTTGGCGGGCCGGTGCAAAAACCTTGGCCGCCCAGATCCGAGCCCTGAGCTATACGAATATACGATGATGGACGGTCAGGTGGTTTTTTTCGGTTTAAGAATTATAGTAAGACAGTAGAATACTTCCATATTACTGGAAAGTAGGGTAATCCGAATTCTGAGCACTGAGTTAAACGCATGTATAGGTCAGAAGTATGATAACTTTTTTTGAGAGCTGGTTGAACATTTATGCTGTTATTAGATCATAATATATAGCCTCGGGTTATTTTTTAAGCATTATATAAATAATTATTTTTTATAATTATATTATATAATTTATGATAATTGATAGGTAGAATTAAATTTATTCAAACTTATAAGTTTTAAAAACCTACACACTAATAAGTATTAAGTTTTGAAAGTTATTAAATGCTAATTGCTTCTGAGAATTTAGATGTTAGAAATGAATGTTAGAATGATTTTTTTTGGATTAAGAGATACAAATATATAACTGTAGAAATTATGCAGCTAGGTGAAAAAATATTTAGCCCTAAATCACCTTTCCATAAAACCTGTGTACCTATATTGCCTATGTTAAGATTTATAAGTTTCAACTTAGACAATGGCGCTCATTAGGCGGTGCAAGGAGATGACATGTCACCCCCCCTCCCCTTGGACAAAATTGAAATTATGATAATTTTTTAATTGTAAATAATAGAATATTTTTCTGATGATATTATAATACCTATAATATACATTGGAACATCGCTTTTAGATGTTGTGTACTTGTGTAGGTATCTATTTTCTGTTATTTAATAAAATCAATTATGTTAATTCTTAGTTATTTTTTATGATATTGTAGCCCCCTAGGTTATGATTGACGGGTGCCCTTGAACTTAGTCCTAAATATCTGGTAAGTTTGGGTTGTATTAACTTAGTACATGTTTAAAGCTTTGAAAAATGTATATACAATAGGTAAATATTATAATATTGATTATAAACGCTCGTTAGGTTGGTCCGCTAGCAGCGAATACGCACTTCAGACCTAAGTTTATTTGCAAATAATGTATATAAGTTAAGAGAATGTCTATATAATTATTTACAAAGCGATCCTAAAATATTTTTTGAAACTAATTTATTTATAAAAGTCAATTAAAATATTATTATTGGAGTATTAATATTTGTAAGTACCCAACACGAATAATGAAATTAAATTTACGATGTACTTAATATTATAGATTAGGGTACCCATATCATATTATTTACATTGGATATTAGATTTAAACTATTATATTAAAATCTGATGATACATGAAAATCAGATTATCTATAATATTTGGGTTTATAATTTGTATACTTTATGGAAAAAAACAACGTCATATTATAAAAAGATTGTTTCATAACCAAATAGTTATTTGTTATTAGAATTGTTTACTACTTGTTATTTTTTGTAAGTCTTTATGTTTAGATATAACATATTACCGAATAGTAAATATTTAAAAAAAAATGTATATATTGTTATGACTATGTCGTGGCTAGTAAATTAGTAATCTACATTATGGTAATATGGTATTAGTAAATATCATATTCGTGTCATATACAATACTACCTAATTCGTGTTTGTATAGCCTCACATATCTCATACATAATAGATTATTGTATAAATTATCATGTTACCGATGCATTAGTTTTAAATCTAAGTTGGTGGTCATTGTGTTTTAAGTGTCTACGTTAAAGATTTAAACTGAAAATTTACAATTCTCAATTTAACATAATATATTATATAGTGTTATTATACCACCTTATTGCGATATGGTGACGGTCAGGGAAGGGAGGTGGTTTTTATTTTATTTTTACACGTGTTTCTGATTAATTGTGTTTCCATATTTTTTGTATTGACAGGTGGGATTTGTGATGATTGAGTGTTGTGTGAGTGTGTGGGGGGGGGGGTTGCAAAAAAATATAATGTTATGTACCAACAGTGTTGGGTAAGTTACTTTTAAAAAGTAATTAAGTTCCTTTACTCGTTACTAAGAGATAAATATAAATAAGTTGCTTTACTCGTTACTCAACTAAAATTGTAATGAAATTACTTTACTTTTCGAATAGAAAAGTAACTCATTACTTTCTCGTTACAAAAAAAAAAAAATTAACTTTCTTGGCAAATATCTTCTGCAGGCAAACTGAACAAGCTAATATACTAAACAAGCTAATTTTTTTTATAAACTTCGTATAAAACTTAGTCTTCTACACAAACTATTCATAGGAAACCTATTTATAAAGGAATCAAAATAAATAATAAATTGAATTAACTGTTTCATGATTTGTACGGTGCAATTAGACATTTCAAATGTCAAAACCATTGAAAACTGAATTGTGGCGAGTTAAAATTAAATATATATACATATTAGATTGTTAAACATAATAATACCCGCATTATACATATATTATTTTTTCAATTCGAATTGGTAAGGTATAGGTACTTAATAATTCGAAACTGTAACGCGTTAGGTATTCTATAGAAATTACTTTTCAAAAGTAATTTACATTACATTTTCGTTACTTGGAAATAATTCTAATGAAATTACGTAGCGCGTTACAAGCAAAGTAACGCCGTTACAGTAACGCGTAACTTTCTTTACGTTACTACCCAACACTATGTACCAACAATGAAATTTGAGTCTGCGGGCGTCCCTGCAGAGTGCAGGTGCTACATAATATAGATTTCAAGCGATGTCACTTGGACGTAACTTGTCGAATCTCGTATTATAATAATATATTGTGCACAATACACACCTATTATGGCGGTGGCCTACTGGCTATATATTATAATGGGTACCTATATGCAGTTAAATAGGTGGGTGGACGGGTGGTACTGGGTTATACTAGATAGGTTGTGTGCTCGTACTGCGATTAATATGTTACCACCTATACAGCTGCAGCTGGAACAAGTAGGTAAGCGCGAACGGACGTTTCTAAATTTTTCGGATTGGCCCAGATTGGACGACGGCGGGACACGGGTAGAGTATAGATTAGGTACATACAATATTATATTATACGCGCGCGCATCATCGATTGCATCCGACAAGTAGATGACAACAGAAGCATAGATTATTGTAGTAGATATATTATACCTATATGAACACTATGAAGTCGGGTCGACCTGCGTGCGCCTCGTGCTCCCGATTCGCGAGACCCGCGAAAGCGTCGTTTGTGGGTGGGTTTTGGGGGGGAATATCTCGACGGGTGGAGGGGATGTGTGTGGGCCACGGGAGGAAAACACAATCCTCCGGTCGCCAAGCTCCTGTGCAGCGTGCGGACGACGATAATAATAATAATATAACCTTGGCCCATTTCGCACGGCCAAGACCGTGTTGTCGGCCGAGGGGGAAATTCGGTCGTCGTTGGTGAGACTGCGGGTCGTGACCGGGTACCCGTTTGACGGTGTTTGACCGCTACGCGTCGCTCCAGTCGTCCATATCGATCTGGGGGGGGCCCTCCACTCACCAACTACAAAAGCGTTCCCACCAAGCGGCAAACGACCGCCGACAACCTGTTCCGGGAACTGCTGGGCGGCGAATGGCTGTAGACTCGTTCATTGTCGTCGGTCCGTCGCTTGACGTTTCCGTCCGTCACACACAGTACACGGTACGCACAGCGATAACGCGATCCGCCACCGACCGCCGTAGTGCACTGCCGTCTGCCACTAGTGTGCCCAGTGCAACGTGCCTCTGTGCCATCGTACGCCGCTCAGAACGTGATCGCGACGACGGCCACCGCGCGCCATTACAGTTGTAGTAGTAATCGTGTTTGAAAACCGGCAAGACGTTATTTTAAACACGTCCATCTTTTTCCGTTTACGACACGGTTTTTTCGTCACTTTAATACATTAAAGTGATTTAAAATTGATACTAGGCAGTTGTTGGTAGGCGGTGTTGTTATTACTTATTGTAAAAATAAAAAATATTTATCCGTCGGCCCCCGCGTGGTGTCCGCTAGAGTGCGTGTAATATAATTCCTTTGTTTACCTGTTCGCTGTCCCCTGCCGACCCTGCAGGCTGGAGCCCTCAGCACAGCTGATATCCCAGGAGTTTGTATCAATATTTTGCCATTGTACCTAATAATAATAATAATATTCAAAACTAATCATTTGAGACAATAAATTACGCACGCACGCACCAAGCCACAGAATCTGCGCGCCGACATCCGTCCAACGGCCACAGTCTCCTCCGACTCCCCTCCCGCCACCCCTTGACGTACACTCCTCGTGAGTTTCAACTCTCAGGCAGACAACTCGAACTCGACGTCGGTCCGACATGTGTCCACGAGTGTAACGACCGACGGGGATACCCGCGAGTATAATACCTTAGCGCGAGTGTCGTGTTCGTCGACCACGATGTCCGGTGGCGGCCGGTGGGTGGTGTGCGTGGCCCTGCTGTTGCAGTTGACCGCGCGGTCCGAATGCAACTGGCTCAAGAACTTCGCCAAGCCAAAGCCGCAGCTCAGGCTCATGGAAGGCGTCACCGAACATTTGCACAACGTCATGCCGTACGAACAGGTGCAGTTCAGTAGCCCGAACGTGTCCACGGCGTACATCAGCACCACCAAGTTCCAGGCGGCCGGCATGGGACATTTGTACTTCATCACCAACAAGTTCATCCAGTACATACTGAGCGACCAGGCTTTCCCCGAAGGTATGGTTAACTTATAGTGTAGTCGTCGACACCGCTTTAATATGGGTACAGCCGGGATCACACTACCAATGTGTACAGTTGGTTCAGATCTATTCAACCTGTGGGTGGGTAACTCGATACCGACACTATGTGACCCACCTACATGCCTACTTATAAAACAGAGACCGATCCTACGGTTGTGTGAACCTGGCTTAAATGTTTTTCTATTCTGTCCGTTGGCAGTCGAGCGAATTTGTTCAACCACATATATTTTAGAACGTTTTCAAAAAAGTTTAAATGATGCTTATTGCTTAGGTATATGTTGTGGATGTGCACACGGTTGATTGACCTGTGCAAACTGTAGTTGTTCACTTATCTGTAGCGTAAGCGTAGTGTAGTAATCTTTTTATATTTACAAGTGGGCGGTAAGATGAATCGGCCAAAAATAACTAACCAATGGTCAATGAAAACCTACAACATTACCAACAGAATAACATTTTTACGTTTATATTTTTACTAGGTACCTAATTAATATTATATAGACAGAGTAATAACTTATATTAATAACGATTGTGTGAGATAGGAACAGTATTATATACGTCTTGAGCCTCATTGATTACTGTTGACTGCAAAATAATTTCATGTATTTATTTTAGGTATTTACAGTTTCTCAATGATACCTCAATTACCTTAATAAAATATTTTGATATGCGAGTAGATAGTTGTTAGAACTGGTAAAAGGTCACAGTTTCTTAGTGTACATGTTATCAAAAAATTAAAAACTAACTACTTATAATATTAGATTCTGAGCAGAGCAAGGAAGCTAGTGGTTTTACAATGGTGTTTATTTTTTTTTTTATTTTTTTTATATCCTGTTTACAAAATTTCTACCAGAAGGAGTGCTTTGATTTCAACATATAGTACCTTATCTTTTAGCAAATTGACATCCACTTACCTGCCTTTTTTTTTTTTTACTGTTTATCTGACAGACAATTGTCTAATATACATTAAATATGATTCATTAGATTTTTTTTTTTTTTTTTTTTTCGTTTGAACCGACAGCAGAGGAGGATCTGTGTGAACACTACTACTCCTAAGATTCATTAGATTTAAAGTATCTAGTTATTAAACCATTAATAATATAAAGTAATTTTTTTATTTAGGTACTATGAAGTCCGTGCGATATACTTAGGTACCTAGATAAAATATTTTATTAAAATGCACTATAAAATAATTAATTGATCTACCTAATCACTTTAAGAATCTTTATACTCTATAGAAATGTGTTGTAATATATTATCCTCAATATTGCATATCTAAATTTGAATGATTAAAAATAATATTAAATATTTATTATAGTTTATAGCGTTATATATAGGTATATTGTTATTAACTACGTAGAAGATACTAATATTATCATTTTTTATTAACTCCCCGGAACAGAAATAATTGAAATATGATAGTATCAGTTTACATAACATTAATTTTATGGTTGAGAAATTACTATGGTCGTCTGAACCAGACCTTGGCATTTTTTTTCTTTAATAACATCTACAAATCAAAATCATTATTGTAATTATTACTTATAATTTGTATTAAAATATCTATTAGATGGATACCTAAGGAGGTTTAATTAAAATTTAAAAATAAAATTGATATGTAGGTAGGTATGTTACGTATCATAGGTATTATAAATAATTTAGTCCCATGAAAAAAAAAAATTATTTAGGTATTTAATTATTTTGACACTTATTGATGAATCATAGTAAAAGTAGGTTAGGTTGGTTTAATGTTTATTTATTATATTATTTAGGCATGTATAGGTTATAGTTGCTTTTTTTAATTACATTGATTTTCGCATTGATAGGTAGGTTAAAATTAGGTTTTTTAAATAAAATATATTAATCAACATAATTAAAAATTATCATTTTATATACCTACTTTTTGACATTCTGATATCTGATTATTAATCTATTTAACATTATATTTGTTATAAATATACATAATTATTATACACAATTTAGTAGTAAGTTACTAATATTATTATACTTACCTACTTATTTTAATATTCTATACACCATAATCTATGTTCTTGAAAGACTAATACCTATTATGTAAATAATATTATGAATATCCATATACCAATATGATGGCAATATGCCAATATTTGACAATTAAATGAAACAAGGCAAATTATTATAATAATGTCTATAAAGTATTATTTGGTTACTCAGTGAATCTGTTCATCTTTTTATAATATCAGTAGGTACATGATTATAATACATTATACCTATCATTTTATTCCTGTATGACCGACAGCGAGGGAGGCTCTGTGTGAACAACAATACTGCTCCTCTGCCATGATTATATATATTTACATTGATCATATCTACCAATATTCTCTCTCGTCAAATACTATAAAAACTGTTCATACTGTTCATAGTAAATTATTTGTAGACTGTTATCCCCATTATTATCAGTATTATGCTACATCCAATGCATACCCTGATTGATACGATCTTTAGCAATAGTTGATAATATATACCTGTCGGCTGTCAGTTATTTAACGGCTATAAAATAATGAAGTAGTATGTCATGCTACTAGTTTAATACTTATAGACATATTAATACTAATTTGAGTAATTTATTAATATGTCTATGTTAATACTACATAATATTAATAATATTCAATGATAATATCAGTGTCCACTGTTCAGTAAATAATTTATTAAAAACAACAGGTATTAATGAATTAAACTTAAACTCATAAGTATTGAAATTTAATAAAGATTATTCGAATATTAAATACCTATGTGATTGTGGTATTTATATTTTATGGAGATAAAAAAGGTATTTTTTTCAATCTTCTAAATAAGTATATGTATATTATGTATATACTCCATATTATTTACACTTCAAATTTTTTTTTTATTTACATTATACAAACTGATTAATTATAGGTCTTATTACTATTTTTACTATATAATGTTGGCTTTTTTACTTTAAATAATTTTAAGTTTAAATAATAATTTAAAATGTATTACAACATAAATTGTGTACTATATTACTAAACTATTTAATTAGTTATAATATATAATTGGTATTCTTTTATACATAAAAAAAAAAATGTTTACAAACAATTGATCAGCTAACATAATAACAAAAATTAACCTACTAAAAGATTTCCCAAAATTAAAATAATAGTTTATATTTGGGTAACTTTATTTGTTTCATTATCAACAATTGCATATTTTTTAATAAAATGTTAATTCTTATCTGAAAAAACCATCATACCCATCATAGCCATTAAGTATGCTGTGGATAAAAAGTTTGAACTAAAATTATTATATTTATTTATTGTTTGACGATGTTGTTGTTGTTGTGGTTTTGATATGCCAGTACTACGCCTTATAGCTTTTATCCATTTTGAATACCGATTTTTTTGTTCTTCTTCTGTTGTTGTTGGTTTTAATATGTTAAGTGACCACTGATGACTTCCTAGTGAAATATTTAAGACTCTTGCAGCTGCTTTAGCTGAACCATAGATAGCCATGTCGTCAGTCATTTGTGAGCTCATTACGTCTACTCCCAAAATATCAGCTTGATAACTTAATATATTATTGTAAATAGAATAAAGACCATCTACAAATAACTGTGATGGAACTATATTTGTATCCTTTTCAAATGCAACACACACATCTTTGGTATGAAAGCAAAATGCTTCTAATGCAGCTCGAATTATATGTTTTTTGTTAGTAAAATGAGTCATACCGCATATAATACCTCTTGCATCTGGTTTCCAATGTGGTGCTGCTAATCCATTAAAAGCCGGTACAAAATATACATCACTTGCATCTATGTTTAATGATTCTATTTCTGAGTCATTGTCTACAATTTTCATATTATTCTTTAGCCATTCTATCGCTTTACCACCGACTGATGTCCAACCTTCAAAAGCGTAAACTGCTGGTTCTTTATCAATTTTGTATGCTACTGTTGTAATTAATCCATTATTGGACCTTTTAAATTCTGTTCCTATTATACAAGACACTGTACAGCTATCACCGTAATTACTCATTATTTGGCCAGGTTTATCGAAATGTAACCCATACAAAGCAGCTTGATGATCAGCAAATATTGATCCAATTGATATACCTTTTAAAGGTGTTTCTTCTATAGTTCCATAGTGTTCAGAAGAACTCTTAATTGTGGGCAGCAAAGAAATCGGAACATTAAAAAATTTACAGGCATCTGGAGACCACTCCAAAGTTTTTAAATTCATTAATAATGTCCGAGAAGCGTTGGTAATGTCCGTCACATATAAATTACCTTTAGTAAGCTTCCAAACTATCCAAGTATCTAATGTTCCAAATTTAATATTCTTCATAGTAGTAGGTCGTTGAATAATATGTGTATTATTAATTATCCATTTTAATTTAATTCCACTGAACATTGATGTTACTTTTGAACCAGTCGCGTCTTCTATATCATCAAGTTCTTTTGGACAATTTAATATACAGTCTTGAATGATGGTGTCTGTACGAGTATCAGTGTAATGAATTGCATTGCAGAGTGGTTTACTTGATTCTAAATCCCATGCTAATACAGTATCTCTTTCATTTATAATCCCAATTATCTTAATGTTATCTTTTGATAAATTTTTTAATTCTAATTTAACTATTACCTCATTAATAGTAGAACACAATGCATTCCAAATATTTTCAGCGTCTACTTCAACCCAACCAGGGTATGGTTTTATTAGTTCGATGTGCCTGTATGAATCCAACACAATATTTCCACTGTGGTTGAGTATGGAGAATTTGACTATCTCGGATTCGACATCAATTACTCCAATTAATTGTTCATTCATCATTTTGGCTGTGCGAGATGAATTGGATGATGTGTCTTGTACTGAGCTCAAATGTTGACTGCACTCCACTAATTTATGTTTCAATATTATATAGATACACTTATCAACTGATTATACGGATACAGCTGATGTATATTCACTGTCTAATGGGTTGAATAGGTCGAATTGTGCAATATTATTTATATATTTTGCTAGTTATTTCCTATTTGTTTGATTGCTTTATATATAATAATAAAAGTTTGTTTTATTCATATTTATGAACTTTAGACTTCCATTAAAACAGAAAATAAGAATGAAAATTGTTTAAAATACCTTACTTGAATGAAATACACACTATTATGAAATTATGATGTACCCTGATATCGTTGTTGTAATGTTCTGTGATATAAGTAACACTGAAGAATATAGATTATATCTGAAGGCTGGACCGTCTGTGCGTCACTGTATAAGTGATTTCCAAAATGCAATACTTTAGCTGACCTATATCGAATATTAAATTACGAAATTCTTAAGACATTGACAACTTATCAAAATATCCCTTAAAATATTATTAAATCGATAAGAAGGTGGTGGCCGGTGGGAAGTGGGTTGAGAATTGAGATGTCTTGTGATAAAGTGGTTATGTTGATAAGGGTTCTGGCAGTTCCACAGATATAAATTGCGCAATAGTGAAACACAACTAAAAAAAATTATAGATCAATTTTAACAAAACTTATTATCAGACTGTGGGTAAATTATATCAGTAATGATGATTGATAATGATCCACGGGAAATGTAATAATATTAAATTTTGCCACGTCAGAATCATAGATAATATAAGAATGGATAGGACATGCCTATACCAGTTCCATATGAGGCCGTGTGCTTTTTTGGGGAAGAGAGAACGTAAAGAGAGAAAGACAATATGAGGCTTTTTAAGGTTATGTTCAAAACTATTTTATTAAATAAATAATAATAATAAAAAATAATAATAATAATAATAATAATAACATGATAGTCAGTTATATTTAGATATTTGTCAGTTTGTATTTTGATTGTTGTGCCCCCTGTGCCTGGAAAATGGAAATTGGAAAATAATATTTTAACAAAATGAAATTAAATAAATTTTATTTATTATTGTTTATCAATTATCATATCAATATTTGCCTTATATAACCTTAAAAAAAGTATCACTAAATTTTCATGTGATAAGTTCTTATGTCCTATCCATTCTTATATTATCTATGGTCAGAATGAAATAATATTACGAATATTATGAACGAACGTCAACAGTTTCGTACGAATGTGACTAAGTGTGTTTACAATATACGCTTGTTGGTAACACTGCGAGGAAAATAATCCACAACACACCGGTCCGCAGAATATGGACACAGCCACACAGGACACAGTACACACCAACCGACCAACCTTTGTAATTTGTATAGTTTGAACCTTGATTGTGTCTGCAAAGGTTTTATAAAAAAAGTTGTAATATGACCGTTTTGATGTTTCGATATTGTTTGATATAAAATAATAAACCTTTGAATCTGCATCGGATGTTGCCTTTATGATTACAATATTTGAATGGCTGCCCAACAATTTTAAAATTCTCAATTATACGTATCGTTCTAAATTGAATTTCATATTATTTTATCGGGTACTGCGTGTAAGAATAGTGCATTCGTAAAATCGCTTATGATATAGATACATGGGTATACGTACTGTATGTAATAATTGTCTATAAACAATTTTAACGGAAAAAAGCCGGACAGGATATGGTGAACGAGTATTGGGCACTGGTCCCGCTTCGCTCACCTCACCACAGTATCGTGCATTCGTGATGTATTATTATCATCAAAATCATTTCTATATATAGAAAAATATAATACTATCATTTCAAAATTGAAAGCAATGATGCAAATCACCGAGTTCGAGAAACTATTATTCAGAACAGACCTAGCAACTAGTTCGGTAAAGCTTAAATCCAAGATTGTTATTGACATCAGAAAGATAAAAAAAATCATAACAAATGTTCAATAATATATTATTATGTATTACCTGTATTCTAACTTGCATTACACTCGGAGAAATTACTAAAGAAAATTGAATAATTACCTAATTCAGATGTCCTAAATTTTAATTGATTCTTCTTCTGCCTATGTGTAAAACATTTGGTACACTAAAAAAATGTAGTGATAAAAATCTGAACAATCTTTATTTATTATAGAATACACCAAACAATATAGGAAATACAGTCAAATACATTTTAAAAAGGTGGGCAAGTGGGTGTCGCTCTGCTGTACAGTAGGTTACAAGTGGGTCACTGTATAATGGATGGTATTAAATTTGAATTCAATGATATAATATCATTGTATAAGAAAAACGATTCTGAGCGGTGACGGTATGTCAGTCTATGTATAAGACATATTATAATATACAATATACATATCTATGGTATTAAACAAAAAATTGACCTATAATAGGTACCTATAATAAATTCTTAATTAATCATATCACAATATCCATTAGTTACTTTAACGCGTTATACATCAACAAAAACCGTGATACTATCATAGATATATAATAGTACACTTTAGAAGTTTCAAGTACCCACGAATAATATTATTCAATCACAACAAAATAACTAAAATAGTTATTCTAGGTTTTTTAATATGTAATTTCGTCCAAATTTGAATTTAAAATGTCTGTAAAAAATAAGTGTGTTCATATATTTTTTAGATTTTTTGGTTATAGTATGAACTATTTATGAGAACCTTTCTGTTGAATTTGTAATCCTTAGCTATAAAAACTGAACATTTTATAATTTATTAATTACAATGATTGATAATTTTCGAGATTTTGATAAATTTTGTCAAAATTTGATCTTTAAATGCTTATAAAAAAAAACTGTGCCTATGTATTTTTAATATTTTTCAACTGCTATTGTAACAATATATCAGGAGCCTTGTATTAAATTTTTACACTTTTTGCCCAACAGATAAAACTTTATTGATATTTATAGAAAAAAAAACTAAAAAAAATTGAAAGCTGTAAATGTCAAAAAGAGTCAAAATATTTTCAAAATTGTATGGTGTATAGAAAATATTAATTTAAACATTCAGTGAAATTTTCATGTATCTACAGTTGTTCGTTTTTGAATTGCAACAAAATAAGGAAATCGCTACATGAGTAATCGAGTGAAAATCCAATGTTGTAAAAATTTGAATTTCAAACGCTCATAAAAATCTAATTTGACTGTCCGGTAGAGATTTTTTTATTGATAAAGGTAGATAATCTTATAAGGAATCTTGTGTTTCATTTTCAAATCTTAGATTTAAAAAGAAAAATTTTTATGAATTCTTAACTCAAAATAATTCGCTAATTTTCGTGATTTTTCCATATTTTGTCAATTTTTGAACTTAAAATGCTTATAAAAAAAAAACTGTGACTAAGGATTTTTAATATTTTTCATCTGCCTTTGAAACAATATATTAGGAGCCTTCTATTAAATTTTCAAGCTTTCGCAACCAACAAATAAAATTTTATTGATGTTTTTAGAAAAAAAACTAAAAAAAAATGGAAAATGAAAATGTCCCTAAACAGTTCAAAATAAATCAAAATATTTTGAAAATGTTATCGTGTATAGAAAATGCAAATATAAACAACCAGTGAAAATTTCATGTATATACGTTCATTTGTTTTAGAGTTACACCAATAACCAAAATCGATTTTTTGGAAAACCAATTTTGCGTAAAAATTCCCGTTTTTCCTTAATTTTTATGTTGTTTTTCGCGGCGCTTGTGAAAACTACTGGGAAATTTATACTTTTGACCCCCCAAAGTACCAACTAGATTCACTTTCCTATCATAAAAGCTACTGATGAAGAAAATCCAAGCACTTTTACTGTCCTAAAACGTGATGACAGACACAAAAAAAAAATAAAAAAATATAAAAATAAGACTTAATCTAAAATAAAACTTAGTATACGGTACAGCAATCTGTTTTAAAAAAATATTTCAGTTAGGTTGAATGCTTAGATGTTTAAAATAATCAATCTGAAATGACTTGTGTAAAGCCAATTAATGCTTTAAAAATCTAAAAGGAAAAAAAGTAGTAAAAATTATATTTAATTGTAACTATAACGCATGACATAGCAAATGTACGTTCAGAAGAATCCATTTTACTCTGTTTTTTTAATTTTAGAGTAAGTGATCTTCAATATTATAAAATTTAAAGATTGGATTATTATTCAGAGCCCTGCTTAGACTTTTTATTGTATTTTAATTTTAAAGCAAGTAAATGTAATGTAATTGTAAATGTTCAAAATATGCAAGTCCGTGCATTTTCTTTCCAGCTACAATAACCTGTATTAGGTATTTTAAACATTTTAAAACAATTGTTTTATAGTATTTACTATTTACGTATCCAATCGTAGTATAATCGCATAAAACTTCTGTAATGCGCTTTATAATAATACAATAAAATATAATAATATAGGTAATATTAGTATGTATTAACATAATATATTATAACAATATTATGTTCTATTATAATAGCATTATATTATTATTTTTGAATGTTATTACTTATTACTTATTACTTTTTGGTGAAGCAAATTAACAAACCGCGCTCTGCTGGAAACAATTTGTACCTTCCGATTTAGGGGGATGTTTAGATATAGTTTTATATTGGTTACTTTACTTTTTCTAATAAATTAATTTTGTTATTGAAACTTTATACGCTGGTAATTGGTATAGTTAACTGTATACGTTGGTAAGTACAATTTCTGCAAAAATTATCAAATACATTTAAATACAATTCACTTAAAGCAAAATGTATACGAAATGTCGGGAAAATACATACAAGCTGATAATAGTATTCCGAATTCTTGACTCGTACGGTGTTAATTTGTTTTGCCAATAACTTAATATAACTTATCGGTGGTAATTGGTATAGACAATGGCAGCGGCGTCCGCAGGGGGGGCTGAAAGGCCCCCCTATTGCCCTTATTATTATTACTTTTT